TATATGTATGTATAGCTATTTATATATATATATATACATATACTCTCACATATATATATATCTATATATGTATATATACATGCACACACATATATAAATAGATATATAACCTATTTAAGTTTATATTTATATATATTAAAGTGAAGGGTGAGATGGGTTGAAATTCGGGTTTATGTACATCTGCCGCTAATAGTCCATCTGCAGCCCACATCGCTAAGCCCACCGTTTTGAGAGCTGTACTTGTCATCGCATCGATTATCTCCTCGATGATTTCTTTGATTTCTTATCATCCTGGTCTGAGATTGTTGCTTGTCGCTTGTATATGCGCTGCAATTATAGTAAAGAGAAGAGATTAGTTTATCAGTACCTTCATCCATTGCGAAATGATAGTTTGCCACATAGGAAAAGGCCTGTCGAGTTCAGTCCGAAATAGAATGGCCTGCGATATAGGTATTCGGGTAGACACATTAAATTGTTCACACTTGTCCGAAATACGCATATTTGATGAGTGCATTAGAGGAGCATTAGAATATATATACGCACAAACAAGGACACCATATCATCTTTACTACTCCAAATTATAGTTCAAACACACAGATATAAAGCCCCCAAGCACCGTACCTCTAGTACCAGTTTGGCTTCGCACTTGGGGAAGTTCTGCATATCGTAGTATCCAGGGGCAACCTCAATGAGCCATTCCGCTTTGATATCCGTGACCGTTCGGATGTAATGCTTGGTGGTCAGCACGAACTCGTGGTAGAGCACCCATTCGGGTTTGCGGTCGAGTGTGGTTGACGGGTGCAGTTGTACCACCTTTGAAATGAAGAGATGAGAGAAAGCAAAAAAAAAGGGAGACAAGGACAATAAGTATTTGTAATAAAAAAAAATAGGTCAGAAGGTACGTGATGCAATGGTCATACAGTACGCGGCATACAGCACAAGTGAAATGCTACAACAACAAACTCAAATAGTCGACAATGGAAAAATAAAGCACTCATATAATCAGGTCGTGAATTTCAAATTCTCTGATGAGCAGAACCTCGGGCACTGTTACAGGTACAGATGTACATCTCAGGCCAATAGTATACACGTATACACATATATGAGTATATAAGGACATCCAAGCAGTAAAATTGCCACACAAAACAAGTATCGATACAAACATTGCTTTTCCAGCCAGGTTTTCACTGTGAGATATAATCCAGTGCGTTCTGAAAGAGCCAAATACATTTAAGAACTTGAGCTAAATAACGTATGCTGCATGTAAGGAAGTGTGAATTTACGCGCAAATGTGTACATTATATTTTATTTAGAGGAGAAAAACAAACAAACATATACACACACATATAATATATATATACCCTACCTGGTTATCTTTGACTGTGAGATAGTGTCCGCTGCGCTCCAAATGGGCCACGTGCATGAAGAATCCAGAAAGGATAGCCTTGCGGATATTCACATAGTATGAGCGTGAAGTAGAGTCCTGGCTCACCACCTCTAAGCCTTGACGTTGCATGATACGGGACAGCTGTGATCGCACATTGTCCGCCGATTTCAGCGACCTAATAATTGTACAGGAGAGAACGGATTAGAAGTTCAAATAGTAATATGCAGATATGTGTGAATATCAGGATTTTGGCAATCTAGAATTATAGTTATAGAAGGAGTATGTTTAATGTGTGGTTCTCGTAGATGAGGGATTATATCTCGAATATAAGGTATAGGGTAAGGCGAACAAAAAGCATGTCGAATGCAGTATTAAGCTATGCGAGCACACGTCCTTGATTTCTTGCAAGCACACTTCTAGTAGCCTCGCATACATATACAGAATGTAGGTGACAGCCAAGTATATTTAGGTATAGCTTTGATTTAGGAACTCGCTAGCAGTCCGAATTTAAATATCATCTTTCTATTTCTATAAGTGTGGTGTGCAGCAGGCCACGCATAATACGCGCTGTAGCGGTATTTGCGAGCACACATTTGATACAATATAAAACAACATCCGCTCACATACGAATACAGCTAATGGTTATATATACTCGTACATACCTTTGATTTAGGAAGTTGTTGTAAGCACATACGAATGCAGCTAATGGTTATATATACTTATG